CCCACTGACAAGTTGGAGGTGGGCTTCAGGGACGTGGATGCTGCCATCCTGGTGGGCTCCATGCCCAGGAAGGAGGGCATGGAGAGGAAGGACCTGCTCAAAGCCAACGTAGCCATATTCAAGAGCCAAGGAGCTGCTTTGGAGAAGTACGCCAAGAAGAGTGTCAAGGTAATGCCACAGCACACAGTTCATTCTCATGCACTGACAGGTAAATTCAATTAGACATCCACTCCTCTCCTTTTCTACTGAAAGCTGAGTGGCTCCTCTTTGGTAAGAATAAGATGTAAAATCTACAGCAACATTGCTTTTAAATGGAGCAAATCTTTCCCAAGGACAAGCACTGGACTGTTAGTGAGCTGTTACAATAATGTGTTTAGTTTGAATTGGGTCAGCTGAGTTACTCAGGTTGTATTTTAAAGTGTTTGTGTTTTCAGGTGCTAGTTGTGGGGAACCCTGCCAATACCAACTGTCTGATTGCAGCCAAGTCTGCTCCCTCCATCCCCAAAGAGAACTTCTCCTGTCTCACTCGTCTGGATCATAACAGGGCTCGCTCTCAGGTGCGTTCTTTAAAGGCTCCTGTTTGTACTTCAAGTTGTATTCACACTTTCTTTTACCAATTTGACTCATAGCTTTTTAGCTGCCGCTTTGTCAGTTCTTTGCCTGAGCTGACACTGAAACCTGACATTTCTGTCTGCCCTATAGGTGGCAATACGCTGTGGCGTTCCTGCCACACATGTGAGGAATGTGATCATATGGGGTAACCACTCATCCACCCAGTACCCAGATGTGCACCATTGCTTGGTCAACATGTCTGGTAGTGACCTCGCCTGCTTCGATGTAGTCAAGGATGATGCCTGGCTCAAAGGAGATTTCATCACTGTGAGTTAATGATAATCAGAATCAGCTTTATTGGCCAGGTGTGACAGACACACGAGGAATTTGACTCTGGTACATCGGCTCTCAATGTGCAAACAGTAAACCAGCATAAGGCTGTGTAATATAATAAGCAGTATTAACAGCAACAAACGGTGCAAACAATGCAAAATAAATAGTATAAACAGACAGTAAACAATGCAGACAAACAAAGGAATGTTCACTGAAATGAGATAAATATGGATAAAACAGAGTATTTAAGAACTAGACACCTGTACGAGTCTCTATAATCTGTACGAGGTATATTTACAGGTATTGCTCTGAGGGTTATTGTCCAATCATACTGTCGTGGGTTAAGTGTTCATCAGAGTGACAGCCTGGGGGCAGAAACTGTCCCTGTGCCTGGTTGTCTTAGTGCACAGTGACCTGTAACACCGTCAAGAGGGGAGGAGTTCAAACAGATTGTGTCCAGGGTGTGAGGGGTCAGCAGTGATCCTCTCCACCCTCCTTTTGACCTGTGAGGTATACAGGTCCTCCATGGAGGGCAGGTTCACACCAATGATCTTTTCTGCAGTCCTGACTGTCTGCTGAAGTCTGTACTTGTCCTGTTTGGTTGCTGAGCCAAACCAGTGATGGAGGTGCAGATTATAATTTACTATAATGTATGTGATATATTTTACAATTACACACAACTTATGTAGGGCATATTTAATAAGAGGAGTAACTAAAATGGAAAAACTTCCTGCTTACACTATATTAAACCTGCATGGTCAACATATGCACACTGATCCAAATAGTTGTCACAGATCTGCACTGTTCATCAATATGAGCAGTTGAATCAGACTCTTGCTACTGTGTTTACAAACTTGGGTAATTGTCATAGAAGTAAAAAAAAAAAAAAAACTACAAAAGGTAATTATAATTTTTGACAGATAAGACAGATCCGAGCTGGACAAGTCATTACCATGAGGGTTACAGCAGATAAGGGGTGAACTGACCCTTTAATCCATACGCTCAGTTCTGTTCACATTGCCACTGGATTTTAATAGTCCACAGTCCTGTGTTGCAGACAGTGCAGCAGAGAGGCGCTGCAGTCATCAAGGCCAGGAAGCTGTCTAGTGCCATGTCTGCAGCCAAGGCTATCTGTGACCACATGAGAGACATTTGGTCAGGCACCCCTGAGGTAAACCCCATATTTATGGCTGCTGTAATTATGATGTGAGAATGTCTGCCTGTCGCCACATACTGTCAAGTAGTGGTTATGTCTTTGCCAACAACAATAACAGCCTGTTGTAAAACTACTGATCCTCATTTAATATGCAGCACTATTTTTCTAGTCGCCTTCAGTGAGTGCATACCTCCTAACAGATTCAAATTGTAACTATCAAAAATGTATTTCAGTGGTTGCTAATGCCTGTTGCACTGTTGGGATCCCTTGATAATGTGGTGAATTAGGTGAAATTTGGCTTCTTTTACACATTCATGTCTAAAGAGCTGATTAAGGGTAATGAATCTGTTTTTTCTTCTTTTTTTGCTAACTGTGGAAGTTAAAATCAGGCTTATACTCACAATTTCACAACCCATGGGTAATCATGGCTTCATTAGTCTGACAGCAGTTTGTCATCAACATTCATACAGTTAATTTTTGGTCCATCCTTGTACTTTTCAATAAGCAGCATTATATTTCAGTACTTGAACCAGTTTCTCTGCCTTTTTCAGGGTGAGTTCACCTCAATGGGTGTTTTCTCCTCTGGTAACTCCTATGGAGTCCCAGATGACCTCATCTACTCATTCCCTGTTCAGATCAAGGTGAGACTGATCTGTCCTTTTGTTTGGAACACAGCTAAAGGTGTTTCTTGCATGTCATGTAATTTTTCAGAACTACTGTTTTACATTCTTTGTCTTTAAAATGTGAAACAATGAACAGCTATGGAAAAGATACTTTCATCAATGGAAATTAGTAACACCAGACTAAAATAAGTTTTCTGAGCTTCTCTGGTTAGTATCAAGACTGTTTTCATCTCTGACCACACCAAATATCACAGAGTGTGGTTTGGTGTAGCCAGAATTGACATTGTTACACTTGTAACCCAGCAGCAGTATCACAGAGTCTTGCACTGTAGAAAGGTGAGAAGTTAAACATCTGCAGGTCCACGTTTTTCCATTGGATGAATTCAAAAAATAAATATAGAGGGTTTTCTTGCATATGTCCCAAAATACAAAACTTATGAAATTATGCTGTTTCCTCAGGACAAAACCTGGAAGATTGTGGAAGGTCTAGCCATCAATGACTTTTCTCGAACAAAGATGGATGCCACAGCAGCAGAGTTGATAGAGGAGAGAGACACAGCTGTGGCTTTCCTGGGAGTATGACTAGACCCTCCAGAGCCATCTGACCAGCTTTTAGACAGTCCTAAAACCCCAGATGCACGCCTGTGATAAAGCACTCCACCAGCCCCTGCATTACTGTGTGCACATATGTGAGACAGAGAGAGAACGAGTGTAAAGTTGGAATAATACGTGTGTGTTGGGAGGCTATGTTTCTAAAAAAAAAAAGGAGTCTCTGCACATTGCCACCAAATTTATTACAAGCTATTTTCCTGTAGTTTTTCTCTGGGATAAGTAAATGGATGGGTGTTGCATATACTCGGTGATGCACTAAGTCTTCAAACACTGAATAGGACATCTGTTAAGTTGACCCAATAAAAACTCAATAATATTGTTGTGGTTATTGATTGTCTGAAATTAGTTGGAGTGTGTGAAAAATAGCAAATCATAATTCAATTTATCTTTTTTGCCTAAATTACTTCAAAGAATAAATTATAAAAATTGCTATCAATTAATATTCTGTCAGTCAGCTAAACATTTACTCATGTTTGCTGTATGATAGTGCTTGATTTTGGGTGCCTGAGGAAAATACTGAAAATGCCACATAAAGTACAACAGTCAGTGGGGGTCCTCCTGAGGCTTCTAGGAGGTTAATCTGGCCTTTAGTGCAGTGTCATATTTTTTCCAAGCAGGGACAGCCGTTCCAATTGCTTCACATCTGCATGAGGCATGATTATGAAACATCTGTTGCTAGTCAAATTCACAATAGAGTTTATAACCACTGTTAGTTAAGACGTAAATCAACAATATAAACGAACTATTCCCACATTAATGAAGTAAACCTAGTGTATAGGCATTAGTGGAATGTTGAATGCTGCAAAGCCAATTTGATTACAACTAATTGTAACATATCAGTGTACTTTAAAAAATTGACTGATACTTAACTCCTTTGTGATATCAGTATGAATATGCGGGCATTTCATTTTTGTTTTATTTCTAATATACCCGGAATTGTCAGAAAATATGTCACACGTAGCAGAAATGTATTGGTGGGTAAATTTGCGTCACAGGAATGCAGCCTTTTCATTGGCTGCGGTCCTGCAGCGCTTCGATTCGCCCCTTGTTCGTATAGCACTGTAGCGTAAAATATCCTTGAAACTGTTATCTTTTTTAAAATTTCTTCAGTTTTACCCAGTTTTGAATTTTATTCATCGATATCAAAGGGAAACAGCAAGCCAGTGTTTTAAGGTGAAACCCTGTTAAACAACATCATATATTTGTGAACCCCGCTGTCTGTGTCCTCTGCTGGATTATAGAGGTCCTTCACACTCGCCGGACCAGGCCGAACCCATCGACCTTCCTCCAACATCCTTCAGCGTAGAGTGTAAGAAAAATGGTTCTTAATCTAACAGTGTCTTCTCACTTTGTCTCTTTACTGTATTCCTCGACATCGCTTCACTTGTGACTACTGGATCGTATCATCAGTTTAGCTATCGCATAGCTCTTCTATTAGACATTTATCGAAAAAAGGTCGTTTTATCCGTGCGGTGTTCATGGTACCCCCGGTGATTTGAGTTATCTTTATATGTGTTATGGATGTACCCTGCAGGCAGCGTTTACGTGCAATCATTGTGGAGTAAATACATCCATAGTCTCTCATTTCCGCAGCCTGTGCAGGCACGCAGGCAGTGCTGGTGAAGAGACTAGTTAGGTGCTGGTTGACTGGATGTTTGTTAGCGGTGTTAAGTAAGTGGTCTGAAAATCGCCGATAAGGTTTTGGAAAAAAATGCGTAGGCGAGGGAAAAAAAAAAAAACAACTATCCGGAAGTTGGAATCACAACCAAGACTTGTGACGTAGATTACAACATAGGGCTGGAGAATGAGAGGCAGGCACTGGCAGCAATAAAGATCGTGCTAGATCAGAGCCAGCTCACGTTCGTTTGGTTGCTGCCCAGAGAGATATCTGTGATCCTATCAATGTGTTGTTCTTGGTTTACTTTTTATATGGGGTAGTCAGGATGTCGTATCCTCCAGAGTGGACTTAAGGGTTTTACGCCTCTGAATGAAAGACTGGTCTTAGGATACTTCCAGGAAGCTTTTTTTATGTTCATTTACGGGATGTAGGCTCAATGACATATCGATTTTTACAGTGAATACTTTCTGGAATACTTAACTCGAAGTGATTTTATTACTTAATCATATGTGTAACAGAACTCGAGCTCAAACATGACACTTTATTTAGAAGGTAAGTGATGTTGTGGAGGGTATTTTAACCTTTGAATGTGCTTCAAAAGTCTACCTTAACCCCCCCCCCTTCAAAAAATCTGTGAAATTGAGATGGGTAAACTGGCACCTAGTATTTGTTTGCCCTTGATAACATGGAGTCAAGATAATATATAAAAGAATGATGTCTACATTAAACAAGATACTGAAAAGATTGTGAAATCTATGGAATGTGGTTCACTGTGGATTTCTCCTGTCTGGCGATGTGCCATTGTCACTTTATATCAGAATGGTGAAGGCATGGCTGCTTCCTGGTGTCATTTCTGGCTTTAGGCCAGAAACAGTGAATTATTCTGATGTAAGGTTACTCTGGTTAATCCCTCTACTACACAATACCATGCAGAGTTATGGTGTGATTCACAAGGTCTCTCACAGTGTTTTTACTCAGATCCATATGATATGCCCCAGTATGTCGTAACTACAATTACATTACTACTTTACTTTCATGTGACTCATTACTTTTCTAAGTGAGCAACACAGAAGGCCTTTAGTTCTGCTGGCACGTCTGTTGTAACTGCATTATATATATTTTTTTGGTTTTAACAACATTAATCTCATACAGCAAAGTAAAGTGTTTGTAGCGGGGGGGGCCCTGTTTGACCAAAGACCAAACAGTGCTAGTTGTTAAGTCAAGTCTCTAGGCTTAGAAGTGCTTGTGCTGTTTTTACAGATATGTTGGCTTTAAGTCGTGTCAGTTGTGACCTACTGTATATAAGGATGTCAAATATTGTCCGAGACAAAGTGTGTGTGTATATATATGTATGTATATACTGTATATACACACACACACACATTATATATTTAAATAACTGTGTTCATAAGCATTTTGAGGATCCAGAGTAACTCAGTAAGTTGCAGCTGTATAAAACCTTGTCTTGTCCTCTTCCTCTATCCTGCTTGTCCAGGTCTGAGTAAAGGTGAGCTCAACAAAGGGATGGCTCATTTCCAGGAAATGATGCGGCAGCAGCTGGAGAACTCCATGTACACTGAGCTGCAGAAAATGTTGGACACCACCACAGGGCCAGAGAGAGAGGTACACTATCACTGGGTCTCTGTGTCTTTGACCAGCTGGTTGTAATTTTGAGGGTGTGGGGGTCACACACAAATACTGTGAATACACAGAAGTGACACATCCTATAATGCAGTGCCATGAGGGATCCACCTACATGCTTAAAGACACATGTAACTAAGTCATATTTTTATCAATTTTTCGGATTGAGAACCACAGTGTGAATCACTAATGGAAAAATGTGTGTTCATTTATCCTACTTAAAAACCTGGTAGGTAATTGGTACACTTTGAGAAAGAATTCATACATTTTTCATCTTCCTAGAGAAGCAAATTAAAATTGTGGTTGAGCAAAACTGTATTAGTGTTTTGGCAAACCTTTCTGAAATGAATTAAAGTTAAAATAGTGTAAAATACTTGTATTTTTCAGGTGGCCAAGAAAGACTTTGAGGGCTTCAAGAATCTTTTCCACAGATTTCTGCAGGTGAAGGGGCCCTCGGTTGAGTGGATCAAGATACAAAGACCCCCTGAAGACTCAGTAAGTGTGTGTCTGTGCATGTTGTTGTGACTTTCAGCATTTTATATGTTCAATCTAGCTCACATCTGGCTGCAAGCACAGCAATATACATATGATTTGGTCATCAGTTTATGTAGACTGACTTCTTCCTACTCCATTCAAACATGTGCGGGTATAAGCAAACTGATTATTGATTAGCAGTGGTTGGCTTGTGTAATTATGGCTTGTGTAATTATAATTATGTGTGTGTTGATGTCATTGTTCTGCATGTTTGAAAGAATAAATCAAATCAAATCAAATCAGATTGTGGGGAACAGGATTGGAGCATGTACAGTATATGAAACAAAAACTGATGTCATTGTAACATATGAAAATACAATTTTAACTAGGCACAGATTCCACAGATGGCAAGTGTGCACCAATAATTGTGTAAATGGAAAATGCAAATCCCTTTATGACATTATATGAAGGTGGAAAGATGTCCCACTGATAAGATTGTCTGACATCAAAGTCAGCAGTGTGGTAGTATCAGATTCACTGTGCCTGTGGGCCTGTTGGCACTCCTCCTTTTAACCTTCTCAACGTGTTGAGTTCCTTTCACTTGTTGGACAGCTACTTATGATTAGCTCACCCAAAAGGACTGAATTTCATTGAATTTCAATAGAGTCTCATGAGGTATCGGTTGTTTGTGTAGGTTGTAAATAATAGTGGACCAAATACAGAACCCTGTGGCACTCCCTTAATGTTTTAAAGGCAGGTTCATGTTAGCGTTAGGGTTGCATTTGTAAATTTAACTTGAATTATTTGAATTATATTTCCCAGTTGTCTTCTTGTATGTTTTGTGTCCCTGTAAGAGCCAGATTCTGAAATAGGGAAGTTCCAGTGTGTACTCATACAGGATATAAAGACAAGGCAAACAGGATAAGTTTTGAGCCATCACATGATGGAAACTTTAAACCCTTCATAGCTAAGTCGGCAACAAATTGAATATTTAGTATGCAATTCTCCAAGTTATAATACCATGTCTTTCAACAGCACATGTGATAACAGTGCAGTTTTGTCTCCAGTCATGCATGATGTCGCACCTTCCTCCACTGATTCTGATTAACAAATTGTGCAATCCATATTTTGGTTGTATAACCTTTCAAATCCTCCTGGCATGTACCTGAGTCAGTCCAAATTCCTAAGCCATCACTGGACTCTCTCTGTTCTAGATACAACATCCTGTGGATTTCTTTCAGGGGCCCACTCCTACAGCTCACAGCAGCTCATCAGTCAAAGGGAATAACAAAAACAGCAGTTTGCACTAGAACCGACAGCTTTAAAAATAAAAATAACACAGCAGTGTCTTATGACCGAAGAGGTGTTTTCTGCAGGCCCACTGAATTCTGTTAACATGGCTGGAGTAGCTGGGAACGCAAATTTAACACAGACACAGGAGGAAAGAAAAAAGCAGTCCCCATCTACATCGTGTTCAGAATGGAAAATGAACATCTGGTAGTGGAAACATTAATCCTCCAGGGGTTTAGAGATGGGATAGACATCCTAGCTGAAAAATATTTCACCACCCCCACACCCACCCCCACAGCCCTTCTTTTCCCCTGTATCTTTTTTTTTTTTTTACTCTTGTATCAATAGTTTTACCGGCTCTCTGCATTCCTTTTATGCAAGTCAGTTAATGCATTTCCCAACTTTTGACCAAGAAACATTTTTTTGTCCTCCACTGCAAACATTTTGTGTCTCTGTGAAGGACAGAGAGTGAGCAGCAGCTGTGTCGAGATTGTCTGTTGTATTTGTAACCTCATCTCCATGTGGAGTGAGGGAAGGTGAACACCACAGGAGAGGGCATTTGTTTCCACTAGGTCTGTTGTGTGTCCGCTGTCACTGATTAGTAACTGTGCTTTTACCAGGAAAGGACACAGGATGACTCTCTGACTTTTCATGTCCTCGCCCACGTATACGCTCCAGTCAGAAATCACTGAGAGCGCCGGCACATTTCTTGTAGAATTATGCAGGCAGACTCACACAGAACTGGACAAACACTGAAACATTCACTCACATGCTACTGTAACAGGAAAAAGGCTGTTAAAACATCTGGTTAGAATTTAACATCCCTGGATGCTCCTGTGCTATGTTGCATTTTTTAAAATACTTGGTTTTTAAAGAAGAAATTCATTCGACCTGGATGAAACAACAATAGTGGAAAATCAGTGAGTCTCTGGTGAAAACAGATCTTGCTGCTATCTCACTGCATGAATATGCTAATGTGAGAGCTGGTTAATGACCCAGTAATATGGCAACACACACTCACACAGGCCATACGCCTGTGATTTTTACTGCCTTGCCATTGTGCATTAAGCCACCATAATACTATTATCTGCACCATTCACACAAAAAAATGCCACCAAACATGTCTTATATCTTTTGTGTTTTATACATGTACAGTTGCATTTCCTTTCTAGTTTCAAGACAGCACTTTGTAGCAGACATTTTCACAATTCCACATCTATTCAGCCCATTACATTGCTCAGCTGGTAATTAATCAGCCCACACAGCTGGTAAAGTCTCTGCTCCGCATGTCTAAAGACTGTTAGTTACTAGTTTGTTTGCAAAAAGCAAACAATTCCAAGAAAAGAAGAAATCAAATTCCCATAAATACTGAGCTGATCTCTTCGAGGAGATGCAGAAACACAACACTTAGAAACACTTTTCTGTGCACCAAAAGTCCAATTATTGTCAAAATTACAAGAAGAGTAAAGTTATTTAAACAGTAGGTAGGTATACCTGCTGGTTCTCTGACCCTTCTGCCTGCTCTCTCCCTCCTCCAGATCCAGCCCTACGATAAAGTCGCTGCACGAGGCCTGCCAGACAGCGTGGCCAACAGCCTGAACAAACTGGTGGTGGTGAAGCTGAACGGAGGCCTGGGCACTAGCATGGGATGCAAGGGCCCCAAGAGCCTGATCAGCGTTCGCAACGAGAACACCTTCCTGGATCTCACTGTGCAGCAAATAGAGGTACAGAAACCTAGTAATACACCACTTAGGGCTGCTCGATTATGGAAAAAATCATAATCACGATTATTTTGGTCATGATTGAAATCACGATTATTTTACACGATTACTCATTGACTTTGGAAATATGTTGTATTTATTGAACAGAACAGTGAAAAACAGATTAAGACAGATAAAACAGATAAAGGCAAACAAGACCAACAATGTAGTGCACTTCCACAACTTTTTTAAAAAACAAGTAATAAATAAAATAATAAATAAATTAGAACAAAATAAGTTTGCTCATGTATGTGCCTTAACAAACTGAAAAATTCTAAACATTTTACAACATTTCTACATTACATAATTAACAATAAAATTCCAGTCAGTAACTAAGTCCAATAATATTTTAAGGCTGGCACACCATGGCTTAGAACTAACAGAAACTAAGTTTCACTTCAACTTTAGCCTAAGTAAACATGTTTCAACATGGCCAAAATGTCCTTCTTTCTGTTTGTTTATTAGTTGGTCACATGTCGGTTTGTGTTTGAATTTTAAATGGTTGAAAAGATTTGTGGTGTTACCAGCCGGTGCCGACACAACCGCGTAGCAAATCTTGCATGTACTATGTTTTTGATCCACGCCCACTTCTTCGAATGCAAAATGTTCCCAGACAACAGAATTCCTTCTACCTTTTTTGTTGACCAAAGACTTCTGTGGCTGCTCTTTTTCTGCCATCTTCCCTCACGCTGATTTTTAAATGCGATCAGATACGACAAGCGAAAGTGAAAGTGTGGATGCGTGAACGCAGGCCAAAATAACTTTAAAAAACGGAATAATCGATTACACCATTTTTGTGATCGTTGAGCCTCGAAATCGAAAATTTGATTAATTACACAGCCCTAACACCACTTTACTTCAATTCAATTTTATTTGCATAGTGCCATATTACAGCAAAAGTGGTCTCCCCCCGGCTCCTGGTGGGCGGCCAAGGAGTCAGAGAGATGGGATTACCATGAAGGTTCACTGTTCACTACTGTAGCTCTAAAATAGAGAGGTAGAGATCTGTCAAGTGCTGTTAAAGATTTCAAAGACTAGTGTACCTGCTACCATTGCAATTCAGAATACATGACATAAATGTTGCTCTTCCACTAAGGTGTTCCAGATATTTTAATGATTTGGATGTGGATCAATTCCTGATATTTTAATGATTTGGATGTGGATCAACCAGTCAGAAGAATCCCATCTTACCACACACTTTAACTTGAAAATTACACAGTCAGCATCTCAAATCTCTTGTACACCGTGATGCCTCAAACTGCGTGCTAATAATTGTTGCAGTACAGCAGGTTCTGTTTTGTTTGGTCTGTGGGTCATTCTAAATTTAGTCAAAGAATACTAGGTTTGACAAATCTTAAAGGACTGTTGTGATGTATACTCCCACTCAGTGGACTTCAGGCCTGGTCTTGCTTATGAAAGCATATCGAGACCCTCTGTATGGAGTCAATTTCCTTGTGTGTTTAAATGTACTTGGCCAATAAAGGTGATTGTGATCGTTTGCGTTTTACATCACCCAGACGTCTCTCCTGTGCTGGCACAGTATGAACGTAGTGTACAGATATAGCAGGGCCGGCAGTCTCAGACTAACTTAGGAATAACTCAGAGAGAGTGGAAAGTCTACTCTCACTCCGCAGTGAGGAAAGAGCAGGACAGACGCATGATTTTAATCACAGACAGACAGAATCACATATTCCTCCCAAAACCTTTTACCCAACCAGCAAACCTAGTCATTTCAGTTTGGCAGAAAAGCCAAATAAACTGTCTGTGGAGCTTCATTTTAGAAAAAATTATGGATCTGATCAGGCAGCTCTGACACTTCAACTAAATCTCACTTTGTCTTGGGAGTTTTTTTTCATATCGCATCTTGTAAATCCATCACTGGACATTAGCTTTATGGGTTTTTTTTTTTTAAACAACTCCTCACAAGCTTTACATTGTTCTTCTCTCACAGAGTAGCTGACAGCTCTCCTTTAAAGATGCTGCTGTGGCCCAGGCTTGGCAGGAGGATCAGCCGCTCGGTATTGCGTGACTCGGTGATCAGAGTACCAAACAAAATTACCACACCAGAATGATGTCATTGATGTCAGGATGGGAGGAGTAGAGGACTAGGATGTGATGTTATGCAAAACATCTGTGTGCCTTAGGCGTGTTTGAATAGTGCTTTATTATGCTTTCAGACTGAGACTTTTGACTAATAGATGAACTGAGACTTTTCTGTTTTACCTCAGGTAAAAAGTACAGGATTTAAGTTAAAGGAATAAAGGGGAAAGTTACAAGCACCTGTGTTTCCCTCTGCTTCTCTCCATAATGCTGCATACATGTCATCCTCCATCATGAGCCGCTGGGTGAGAGACGTGTTCAAGGTGATATCTGGTGCGAGCTGTAGTGAAAGAGGATCTGCTGGTGTGCAGGCAGGCGTTGGCAGGGAAACAGAGCAGGTTGTGTGCTGAAGGAGAGGAAAGTGTGCTTATTTGTACCCGTCACCATGTAGGCCTATCAAGATGTTTCATGGACTATATGCAAATCTTTTTACTATGTTGACTCAAACATCACTGGTGGACAAATACATTTTGAATTTTAGATTTCGAAACACTTGAGCATTAATATGCTGTAGAGAAAACTTGTCAGTCTGGTCAGTGATGCTGGTTTGCACAGAACGGTGTTGTGTAATTGAGTTTATTTTGGGTGTTCATAGCTGCCCTGAGGGACAGTTCTCTCCAGCCAGCACACTGCTCTCTGTGTCCGAGTCGCTGCTCAGGTCTGGTTCCATTACATCCTGACTCAATCAGCCTATTTAGCAAGAGAGAAAATGGGTGCCATGCACATACCGGCCCCCTAACTGTGTCTCCTGTGAGAGAACACCACTCTCAGCCATCACACTTCCTCATGCACGTTTATTTTTGACCATTTCAGTGCAGAGACCTGTGCGCTCTCACTGAGAACCGACTGGGGAAGATTGGACCAAACTCAGGGTCACTGGAACGTTGCCACCTGGCTGCAGAAAATGCACTACTTTCACCTGAGTGACTGTCTTATTATTAGATCTGCCAGCTTAAACAAGTTGAGTTAAGTAGTTATAAAAGAGTGCAGTTCGGGGGTGGCCTTTGCTCAGAATAGCTTAAAGATCCAGGGCAGTTTTTAAGATCAGAGATCTCCAGACTTGTTGGGAGTAACCAGTAACAAATGCAGTCCTCATTACACTTTACCTACAACACAAGTTACAAAAGCAGGCTGGTTTTGGTAGTTTTAGACGACATATTACAGAGCTGTTGACATGAATTTTGATAATCTAGCAAGTGTTTTAGCCATTTCTTAAGCAAAAGGGCCAGAACTTCTCAAGCTGTGGTACCACAGATGTGAACATGTGATGGTTTTCTCAGTTCTCTATAATAGTACTGGACTGTTTACTGTTGTCAGACTAAATTAGATGTGTCACACTGGTTCTGGTTAAATTGACATTTTTCAGAATTTTATATTTTAAAGGCCAAAATGATGGTGTGAAAAAAGTTCTGAAACGACATTTAGGCTCTGCGGGGTATTAACAATTACAGAAGATATAACTGAAGTATTACTGTAACTGCATGAATCCAATGTGAAAAATCCCATATTTATACAGTTTTAGATTTCATCTTTAGCATCTAGAGAAAACATCTGATGATTCTTGGACACCTCTAATAATATCTGCTATCTAGTGTGCATCTGCATACACTCAAACACCTACTTACCTCCACATGCACATACACAAGTCTGTACTGTCTTGTTTTCCATAAATCCCTGTAATGTTTTCTCCCATTGTCCCACAGCACCTGAACAAGACTTACAACACAGATGTGCCCCTGGTCCTCATGAACTCTTTCAACACAGATGAAGACACAAAGAAGATCCTGCAGAAGTACACGCACCACCGCGTCAAGATACACACCTTTAACCAGAGCAGGTGAGCCAGTAACAGTGGGCCTGGTGCAGACACTCTGGACAGGCTCAATGCTGATACACGGTTGCATCAACCAGCGATAAGAGGATGCTGAGGTTCCTGTCATACAAGAAATGAAACTGGACAGAAGACTTGGAACTGAAATAATTAGTTTCAGTGCTGGCAGATGTGTCTGACACTTTTCCTACTGATTAGCACTTCTGAACCTAAACCTACTGAATGAGCTGAGCTTCCTCTATTAAAGAACTGGTTTGTATTAAGTATTGGACAATACCCAGCTCTGTGCTGCTCATGTACTAAATCTGCCAAGAACAGCAGCTCCCAGACAGGAAGTGCCATGTATGGAGAAAGCCATTCATACTTAATTCCTTGGCGTCTCCAATTTGTCAGTCAAACAGAATTTGTTTTTTAAGCTTTCATTTGAATTATTTAAAGCACTTGTATGTTCTGTGTGGTACAAAGCAGTTTGGGACAATAGCATGGTAGCACTAGAAAGTAATGTCAGAGAGAAAGCAGCTGACTAATCGAAATGTCAGTGAATAGGAGAACAAAGAGACGTCTGTGCTCAAGGTCATGAGAGTAATTCATAAAAGGCCGGTTCAATTCAGCTGCTACCTGGTGTTCCAGCTGGTGAGAGCAAAACAATTTCTTTTATCCACCACACAAAATGTACCCAGCAGTTTAAGTGATACCACCCCCTGCCAATTAGAGGATACATTGGAAGACTACCCTAAGACGTAGCAGTGCACCAGTATAATTGGAGAAGAGGAAGAACATAAGTTAATGTCAACAATGCAGGTTTCAGAACACAATTTATTTTTAATGCTTTTATGATGCAGAGAATCCGTTTCCCCACATGAACTCGACTGGTTAGAGATGGTTAGAGCTGCTGCAGTGGTTTGTGCTCAGGACTGATTAAAACACATTCTAACCCTGATTGAGAATAAGAAATGGCCACTTCACTGGTGTCATCAATTAACAGCTCAGCTGTTACTATACTGATGTAAAAGAAGATAATTAATCCAAATCACTGTTTGAGAAAACATACAGTGCCTTGCGAAAGTATTCGGCCCCCTTGAACTTTGCGACCTTTTGCCACATTTCAGGCTTCAAACATAAAGATATAAAACTGTAATTTTTTGTGAAGAATCAACAACAAGTGGGACACAATCATGAAGTGGAACGAAATTTATTGGATATTTCAAACGTTTTTAACAAATAAAAAACTGAAAAATTGGCCGTGCAAAATTATTCAGCCCCCTTAAGTTAATACTTTGTAGCGCCACCTTTTGCTGCGATTACAGCTGTAAGTCACTTGGGGTATGTCTCTATCAGTTTTGCACATCAAGAGACTGAAATTTTTGCCCATTCCGCCTTGCAAAACAGCTCGAGCTCAGTGAGGTTGGATAGAGAGCGTTTGTGAACAGCAGTTTTCAGTTCTTTCCACAGATTCTCGATTGGATTCAGGTCTGGACTTTGACTTGGCCATTCTAACACCTGGATATGTTTATTTGTGAACCATTCCATTGTAGATTTTGCTTTATGTTTTGGATCATTGTCTTGTTGGAAGACAAATCTCCGTCCCAGTCTCAGGTCTTTTGCAGACTCCATCAGGTTTCCTTCCAGAATGGTCCTGTATTTGGCTCCATCCATCTTCCCATCAATTTTAACCATCTTCCCGGTCCCTGCTGAAGAAAAGCAGGCCCAAACCAGGATGCTGCCACCACCATGTTTGACAGTGGGGATGGTGTGTTCAGGGTGATCAGCTGTGTTTCTTTTACGCCAAACATAACGTTTTGCATTGTTGCCAAAAAGTTCGATTTTGGTTTCATCTGACCAGAGCACCTTCTTCCACATGTTTGGTGTGTCTCCCAGGTGGCTTGTGGCAAACTTTAAACGACACTTTTTATGGATATCTTTAAGAAATGGCTTTCTTCTTGCCACTCTTCCATAAAGGCCAGATTTGTGCAGTATACGACTGATTGTTGTCCTATGGACAGAGTCTCCCACCTCAGCTGTAGATCTCTGCAGTTCATCCAGAGTGATCATGGGCCTCTTGGCTGCATCTCTGATCAGTCTTCTCCTTGTATGAGCTGAAAGTTTAGAGGGACGGCCAGGTCTTGGTAGAGACCTGCCTGGTGTGTTCTTTGTTCTTCATGATGCTCTCTGCGCTTTAAACGGAGCTCTGAGACTATCACAGTGCAGGTGCATTTATATGGAGACTTGATTACACACAGGTGGATTCTATTTATCATCATTAGTCATTTAGGTCAACATTGGATCATTCAGAGATCCTCACTGAACTTCTGGAGTGAGTTTGCTGCACTGAAAGTAAAGGGGCTGAATAATTTTGCACGCCCAATTTTTCAGTTTTTTATTTGTTAAAAAAGTTTGAAATATCCAATAAATTTCGTTCCACTTCATGATTGTGTCCCACTTGTTGTTGATTCTTCACAAAAAATTACAGTTTTATATCTTTATGTTTGAAGCCTGAAATGTGGCAAAAGGTCGCAAAGTTAAAGGGGGCCGAATACTTTCGCAAGGCACTGTATGTTCATGATTTTGTGTACCCTGGAAGGAATAGCTGTTCCTTCTAAAGAAGCAATACTGGATCCACAACAGGGAAACTGTTGTCGGGTGTGACTCAGTAATGATTTAAATCCTGTTTGAAGTCTGAGTAAACACTCATCTGAAACATCTTCCCAGGGCAGTCCGTTCAATACACCCTGCATTAAAAAAACTGGGGAAATACATACAAAAGCTCACTTCAACCATTGTATATATTACAAAAAAGAGCGATAAGAATTGTGCATAAGATGGGGTACAGGGATCACACCAATGGAGCTTTCATACAGTCTAAATTGTTAAAATTTTT